CGGATGGGTCAGTGGGCGAGCCTGGATTGTAATCCAAAATTTGTAGGCCGACCCAGAACCGACTTGGAACCCGTAGCGGGCGGACTTTTTTTCATGCAAGCCGTTACCGGGCTCATATTGGTCGACCCAGACCACCCGGATTGACACCTCTAATGCAATCCAATATATAACACTATTCAGTATGTCAAACACTGGTTTAGACGATAATTGTATGACATTAAATGATAAATTAATTAAATGTAATATTACATTATTCATTTAATTAAACATCACCGCGAATGCTAAACAACATTAATATTCAATTCAAATTAAGTCAAAATTCCCCTCTGCATAGTACATATTCTTAGAACTACATTCCACCGGATAATGAGTAACTAAGCAGACAAATACCTGTCAATTATTTTTCCTCTCTTAAGTGGTTCCACGTGCTTGAGTTATTTAATTCCCTAACTACCATACACCCTACCCTATCCTATCCTACCCTACTCTACCCCACAACACACTACACCCACCCCAAAAATTCGGAGATAATCAAATCACCAATATTTGTATTCAGTTACTACTTGATTACCCAAAAACAAAAGGTTACCGTCTGCTCACCCATTTTTTTTTAAAAAATTATCCATTTCAATTCCATCCATCTAATTAGACAAAAAAAATCTACGTGGTGGATGGAAATCATACGTGGCCACTAACATCGTTAAAAAATGACAGGTGGAATAATTCATTTCTATTAAGAGCAAATGAGTGCATCAGTTGGCAATCTTCTTTTCTTTGTCCAGCCAACCATTTTCATATCTTTTTAGTTAAGTGTATCACGTCACAGGAAATTCCAATTTTGGTGCTCTTAATTGTGTACATACAAGAATTTTATGGTCTCTCCGATGCAATTCTAGCATGGCCTCTTTGAGATTTTGTTCACAAGATTTCTTCCCCAATTCAAAACCCAATCAATTTCTTCCCCCCAAATCATTTTTCATTTTTTCACAAGATTTCTTCCCCAATTCAAAACCCAGTCAATTTCTTCCCTCCAAATCAAGTGTTGTCCGTAAAGGTTCTAGCAGCACTTTTTATGTACATGTAACATATTTCAAAGAGTAATGGATCATGTTGACCCCAAAAAATGTACCAATAGAATCCCCCCCCACGTCCCCTCCACGTGGACATCACTTGCACACTGAACACCCCATTAGAAGGCAAAGGCCGCCGGTCAAGAAAAAGGTCCGGCACCCGTTCGCACTCCGACGGTCAAGTCAACTGCCGGACGAGGAAAATATAAGTGCAAGAGAGGAAGAGAGGAAGTGGACAGGGTTAGAGAAC